GTGGAGGGTCTCCTGCAGGTCACACAGCCAGGGGGCAGAGCGGGCGCGGAGCACAGGCCTCCACCTCCACCCACCCTAGCCGCCTCACCCTACGGTGCGCTCACCCACCATCGCCCTCTGCCTTCAGCATCATGCCTGCCCCTCCTCCGCCTCTTAAAAGCCAGCCCTCCACAGGACTTCCCCAAGGCCTTCTCCAACCAGGCGTCCCTGGTGAGGCTTCCTGCTTCCTACCGCTGGAGCCCACAGGGACCGGCCACTTCTGTGACCTCAATAAATGGCCACGTTTAAAGACACCAGGGCCAAGGACACAAACAAGCCTCTTAGGGAGGTGCCTCCAGGCTGCAGGGCCATCCTGGCTCCCTCTGCCATGTGTGTTGGTCTAGCTGCTCCAGAGAGAAGGGTGCCCCAAAGAGCCAGGGCCCACCTTTTCTTCTCTGTGGGCCCTCCACTGAAGCGCTAGGCCACAGGGAGTCTCAGAGACACCCAGTGGCTGGCCCGGCACGCCCAGGGAGAAAGCCGTCCCCTCGGTGTGCACTGAGGGGCTGAGGCGGGCAGGGTGGAGGGGTCCTGGAGTCCCCTCTGCTCCTCTGGACAGGGTTCCTCACTGTACACAATGCCCCCTCCCCAGTAAGAAGGCCCAGATGGGACAACCCCAGCAATCACGCCCTGCAGGGGCTCGACCCACAGTGAAAACGACACTCGGCTCATGTTGCAGGTACCTGTGGGACAAGGCCTGCCCATCGTGGTGCCGCACGTGGACGCCCAGCTCTGCCGCCCCGTGGTTACCACACTGGCCGTGACCCGCGCTGAGCCATGCTGCTGTGCTGGGACAGCGCTGGTCTCCTCTGCTCCCCCGTCTTGTAGATGAAGACGCTGAGGCCCACGGTTGACGGGCCTCTAGGTCTCAGTGCTGGCCAGGGCCCACAGTTGACGGGCCTCTAGGTCTCAGCGCTGGCCAGGGCCCACAGTTGACGGGCCTCTAGGTCTCAGCGCTGGCCAGGGCAAAAACCTGCTCCAGCTGAATTAAAAGGGTCACATTTGGGCTCAGGTTCTAGTTCAGACCCTCTTCAGAAAAGCTCAGACCAAAGAAGTGCTGGTTCAGAGCTTTGGTAAATACGCTCAGCACAGCACCCACAACCTGCCCTCTCCTCTGTTTCGGGGTACCCATGCACACCCCACATCCCTGCACACAGGGCTTCAGTCTGCTCCACTCCAAGCCTTGTGTCCCTCCCCAGCTTGGAAATCCCTGGCCCCTACGCCCTGGGCTCCAGGCAGGCAGCCGTCTTGAAGCCTCCTGAATCTACCCAAGATCCCCCCCGACCTTACTGAAGGATAAGGATGTGTGTTTCTTCACACCCCCATCCCCAAGGGCCTCTAGAATCTGCCTACTCGAACTGGATGTGAAGGACAATCTCGTAAAACAGGCACCATGCTGGAGAAGCTCACGTGGACAGTTGGAAGGAGCAGTGCCCAGGGTGCTATCTGGCCATGCAGCCTGGGGAGCCACCCAGGTTATCTGCACCCCGCCTGGCCTCTGCACCCTGCCCTCAGAGGCCTCAGGCCTCCCTCAGGCAGCACAAGGGAGGCCCAGGGTTCGCAGTCCTGTTGGTTCACTATGAGAAAACTGCTTCCTCAGGCTGGCTCTGAACACACCTCTCTGGGCAGAGGAAGGCTAGAAATCGGGCAGGGGAGGCCCTCTGGCCTCGGCTCCAGCCTGAGGTCACAGGACCCCTCATCCCTGGGAGATGTGCACAGACCATCCCAGCCCGACCCCTGCCCAGCAAAGCGCCCCTGTCCCTGCGCTCCCCGGTGGCAAGTGAGCAGCACACCTCCGGAGGAGGAAGCTGGACAGACCACAGCCGACGAGGCTCTCCTCCCTCCAGGGCCACACGGCCGGCGCCCCCCGCAGCCTCAGCAGTCTGGCGGGGGCTCCTCGGAACTGGTGCCGGCTGGTGTCGCAAAGGGAAAGAACTGATGGGGCAGGCAGGGTGGGGGCAGGGTGAGGACACGAGGCCTCTGCAAGTTTCCTACAGCCGATCCCACCACGGCTCCCCCACCCAAGGGAGGTGAGGTTACAAATACACACCAGTGTTCAGAAGAGCAGACACTCGAAGGAACCCGAGAGTCACCACAGCCCCAGCTACATCATCACAGCCGCTCCCGGCACAGGAGGCAGAGCCGCACCCGCAGCCTGGGAGAACGCTGCTGGGACGGGTCCCTGAACACAAAGAGCAAGCTGTAGACATGTAGAAATGGAGAAGGAACATGTTCAAAATGTACGTGTGCGAGCGCACGTGGTGCACAGACATGTACACATGTGTGTGCACGTGTGTCTGCGCAGACACACGGCAAACAGAGGCTACTGCCGTGAGAGGATGGAGGTGCCACTGAGCATTGAGGGGCAGGAGTCGTTGGTTCACCTTACAAGCTCGACAGTGATTCTCCAGAAACGCGCCTCGACAAACAGATTCAGCAGACCCAGGACTGAGTGGCTCTGGGCACCTGAGGAGGGAGGCACGTCACCAGAGCTTCGGACGGACGAGGCGGGCAGGGTCCCCAGGAGACAGTAGTGCCGCCAGCACCCCACGAGGTCTCGGAAGGGCTCCGGCTACGAGTCTGGAGCTTGGTCTTCAGGCCAATGAGGCCTGTGACCGTCCTGGGCACCTTGGGTGCACTGCAAGAGACCCCGGGCAGGAAAGCACTTATTTTAGTGGCGGTTTGTATGCTGGCAGGACGACCAGCACCAGTGTGTAGGTGGCTTTCCTCCAAGAGAGGAGGAAGAAAATCGCACGTCAAAAACCTCAAATGACCAGGAAAATAATTAACCCAAGTGCCCCCAAAACTTGCTGCAATTACAGACAACCTGCACACACACTTTTCTTACTCAAACAGTAAATAGAAATAGTCACCTGGGACTAAGCCTGGCTAAGGTTTGTAAAACCACTTTGGGCTGTCCATTTATTTTTGGAGAGACAATAATAGATATTTTGCCTGTACTCATAAGTTTGTTCCTTTCCCGGGGCTGCTTCGGTACAGTGGAACTGAAGTTGTTCTTAGCTGGAGCACGCTGCTGCAGTCCTGAAATTCCCCCGGTGTTTACATTTAACCACACATCTCGACAGGCCCGCCGGAGCTGGCTGCCGCTGCCTAACGCTGCCGAACACTGACTCCAGGTGCACACAGGTGGCGTCCGGCCAAGGTGGGGATCACGTATGGCCCACCCGCCCCTAGGGCCCAGGTACGCTGGAGGCAGCAACGGAAGGAAATTAGTCCATCGCTGGACCTGCTTTATCTCTAGCATCCAGTTGGCTAGCTCCTCCACCCCCACTCACAGCATCTTAATCTTGTATGAAGAATCACACAGAAATCAAGTTGGGCCAATACTAGCTTGTTTGTTTATTAGAGCAGCGCTCCCCAAAGGCCCGTCTGTGCAGGGGCCCTGGGGATTGGCCTCCATCGTCGGGGGCCCGAGGCTCCCAGGCAGCGATGCTGCAGGTCGGGGGCCACACGCAGCCAGGAGGAGATAGGTGGATCCACGACTGGCAATCAAGACTGTGATGGACTGTGACAGCCGGGGTTGCTGGGGAGGCGGGGACAAGGAGGGAAGTGCCCACTAGGAGTGGCGGCAGGTTAACGAACATCACTTTCCTGTAACCAAAAGTCGACTTGAAGACCCTTTTACCAGGTGTGGGGAATTTGGTCTGTGGTAAAACCTGAGTCTGAGAAACAAACAGGAAACTTGGGGTGCCCAGCGGACCCAAAGTCACCCATGTGACAAGGTGACTGCTGTTCTCAGGCCCCCAGGGCCTGGACCTGCTTCTCTGACCACTCCTCCCACCAGGGCCCCTCACTCCCACTGCCTCAGCCGCGTGCACCTTCTCCCTGTTCTTAGGACACCCATGCTTACTCCCCCTCAGGGCCCTGGATGGCCCAGATGCTCTTCCCCCCATCTTCTCATGGCTGTTCCTTCTTGTCAATACGACTTTAGCTTGAATGTCACCTCCTCAGGGAGGCCCTCTCTGACTACTGCAATCTAAAGTGATCACCCAGCCCCACTCTGCCATGCATTGGGGGATTGTTTGTCACTACAACATAACCCAGCCTGTCCTGACTGATACAATGGCACTCAGTGAAACTTGTTGAATGATTGGACCAGAAAAGCCATAAGCCACTACCAGGAGAGTAATCCTGCTCATGCCACTTGATGGGGGTGGAGCGTGGTGATAAAGGACACACACCTTAGGTTCATGGTGGGCCTGAGACAGCCTCATAAAGGTAAGCTGAGGCTGAAGCGAAGGGGGTTCTACCCATGATGGAGGGGAACCAGTGCCCTGCAGTGACAGCCCACCAGGACCTCTGGGGGAGGCGGTTGCGGCAGGAGGCATGGCTTCAGGCAGGCGGGGGTTACTGCTCCTGGACTCTGGGTTTGTTCCAACCCCCAATGCGCACACAACATCCAGAAGCGTGCTTGGCACATAGAATGTGAAGGATTTATTTAAGGAATCAAAGAATACAGATGTTAGGCATATCCCTCTTTAAAAGACTCGATCTTATTTACTGTCCCACTCTCATAAGCACACCACAAGTAAGAGGCGGGGGGCTGGTTGTCATTACTCCAGCGTGTGTTTTATTCAGCCTGCGTTCACGTTTACTTTTCCTGGGACCAGAGAACATTTCCAAAGCTGAAACATCCCCCCCAGTACTCAGATAACCCCCGCCCAGAACCAGACACAAGCACACAGGACTGTGCCAAAGCCTCCCCATGCCTTGAGCATTCCTCATACTTGTTTCCAAAGACCCACTTCCTTCTATGGGGATCTAAAGACACCAAGTATTGCCAAGGTGACCAAGAAGGCTGGCCTCTTCCGGGCTGGGCAATCCTGCTCCTGTTCACAGCCCTGCAGAGGGCTTTGTCTCCGGCGTCTATCACAAACAGAGACATGGAGGCCCAGAAGACGCTGCCGGGCGCTGCCACGCCCACATGAGGGGACACACGGTACCTGTAGGTGATCCTCACTTCAGTTCCAGGCTCGTCTCGCTCCCAGATCAAAGCGACGCTCTCCGGGGACTTCTGAACGTGCTGATCCAGGCAGTTGACTGCACAAAAACAGGTTTAGGGACATTAAACTTGGTGCTTTCAGAGCCGGAGTCAGGGAGGGTCTGGTTTGCTGTAGCCTGTGCTACTCTCCACTGAGGTGGACCCTTCCCTCAACAAAGGCAAGGTTGCTACTTCCTTGCAAGAAGGGGGATTGTCAGAGCCTGCAAAAACGAGACGATCCTACAAAATATGACCTCACAGGTGCAGGGTGAGCTGTGAATACTCTGAAGCAGGTGCTTCACACCAGTAGTCCCAACCCTGGCCACACGTTGACATCACCTGGGCCACCCCAGGGGACCCTGACCCAGTTGGCCGCATGGTTTTCAAGGCTCCCTGGTGGTTGACTGTGCAGCCGGGGCTGAGCGCTGCAGCCTGAGCTGTTGGAGAGAAATCTTCATGCGGACAGGACGCCCCTGATTCAGGATGCAGCTCATGCAGTGGCCTCTCAAGTGTGGTGGAGGTGCAATCTAGGACAAGGACCCACATCCCTTCTCAGGTGTCCAGACAGCACCCTACACCAGCCTCTGCTCCAAGAAGTGATGCAACCATGGGGAAGTGCCATGCTGGTTTTCCGGAAGGCTCTGCTCCTCTCCCCCTCCACTACCCAAGCTCAGATCACATGACTACCCACAAAAAACAGAAGGTCAGTTCTGCCAGTTTACTGTAAACCTGAAGATTAGTAGGATCATGTTCACTTGCTAATATCCTGCTCACTACTCTTTTGATTTCAGAGGGAGCTTAGCTCTAGCTGGTTAATGCCAGTGCTCCTTCCAACCAGCCCTCACAGCCAGGTTTTCATCACCCATTTCCCCATCAGTGGGGAAAATAAACACCACGAAATAGCTTTGGGGGCCAGCTGCCATCTGCCCACCTAGTCTTTAGAGTCACCCCAATGTCCAGGTATATAATTCTTTTCTTTTCAGGGAAGTTACTTATCTTCCCCAAATCAATCTCCACTATATAAATGGGAGATGCATTCTCTGTCATGTCTGTGATGATCAGGATCAAGCGGAAGACTTATTGTTCAAGTACTGTTAAGTGAATACAGGTCCTGTAACCAACTAAGAGATCCCTGCTGTGAGTTGCAGAGACTCTCATAAACATTTCCTGATGGAATGCCGTTCTGACAAAAGTTATGGGAGAGCCCATCCATAAAAGAGCACGGGCTCCCCCCATTCTTGAGAGGGTGAGCGCACACAAAAACATTTACATACTTTAGCTTCTGTGTGTGTGTGTGAATTACATTTTTCCCTCTTGGGTTATTTTATCTATCATTTACTCTTCTAATTTAAAAAATTTCATTTCAACTTTATGGCTCCTAACAGGTATACAAATTATACCTCAAAAAATTTAATAAAGGAAGATAGATGTCATGGAAAAGTTTACTAATACTACTTACTGAAGCAGAAAACTTCTTTGAATTACTAGAAAAAGGGAAGAAAGCCCAAAAAATAGAAGAGAGGAAAAGCAAGAAGACAAACTGAGAATAAGGGGCTTGGTGGCAAAACCTGGATTTACACAATAAACCTGACATCAGTGTGTGTGTGTGTGTGTGTGTGTACTCAAACTGGTCCAAAGTTTAGAAAGCAAGAGTTTTCACACTAAAACCAGGGATTCTGGCTTCTCTTGAACAATCAGCATATGAGGCCACACCCTCGCTTGAGAGCTGAGGTGGTGACCACCCCTCAGCAGGCACAGGCCCTGTCCCCCACCAACTGCTGCCTGGCCCTGGGGGCCTGATGGATGGAACAGGAAGTGGTGACCCTGGGCAGGTCATGACAAGCCTTGGAGTGCCCAGCTGAGGACCAACAGGCTGGGTTATAGCCGTGCGCTGAGCAGGGGTCCCGCAGGAGGAAGGTGCTGCTCCCGTGTGGCATGAGCACCACTGGGGAGCTGGTTACAGATCAGCTCCTTGACCCCACCCCACACCTGCCCTGAGAAGACCCCGGAGACGTGTGCACGCACTCCTATCCAAGAAGCCTGCTCCAACACACCTTCTCCCACTCTGAGGTGAACCATCTTAGTGACACTGAAAAGTGGCCAGCTCACATATAGCTTAGGAAACAGGCTCCAGGTGATCCAGTGACCTGACCAAAGTCCAGCCAGGAAGCAGCAGGAAGGGCCTCAAAACACGCGTGACACCTCATCCAGGACTCATCTCCGCTCGTCACCTGCTCCCAGGTGCAGCTGGGGCTCCGGGACGCGCTTCTCGCCAGACTTCAAGCCAAGACCCTCACAGCCTCGGAGCCCAGCAGTGCATCCTGCACCTGGTTTACGACAGGTAGAAGGGCAGAGCTGTGGAAGGTGGAGGGGGAAGGCCTGCCAGGAATGGACGGCACCCAGAGTAAGACCGGCCATGTGTCCCTCTCTTCCCGGAATCCAGGCAGGTCAGCACTGAGCCCCACGTGCAGTGTCCCCAAGGTGCCTTTCCTGCACACAGAAGTTGCTGGGCAAGTGGCTGCCAAGGCCCCAGTGATCTGTCTCTCTTCACTGGTCACGCTCGTTCAGGTGAGCACCTTCCTGCCTCCGGGCCTTTGCATGGTTTCTCCCTGCCTGAGGGATGCTGTCCCACTCTCCCACTGCAGCCCCTCACCTGGTTCCCACCCTCCTGCAGGTCCCGGCCCCCAGGTCCTCACTGTCCCAGTGAGCACTTCATGCCTCCCTCTAACTCTCCTGAGATGTTCACAGCTTGCGGCCCCTCTGTGGACAGGGCCAGATGTCCCGTTCATGTTTGTATACGTGCAGCCTAACCCAGAGAACAGAGCAGATGGAGCACCATAGTTCTGCATGACGGACAGACATTCAAGTCCTTGAGCTGAAGGAGATACTGGGGTCTAAATGACAACAGGTTGCCCCCACGCCCAGGGGAGGGAACACACCTCTTCTTGTCTTTGTGGCTTTGTCCCTCAAGAAAGTCTCTTTTTGGCCTAAATCAGCACTTCTAAGTCCCCCAGAATCTCCCAGAGGGCTTGTTAGCACACAGATTGCTAGGCCTCACCCTGAGTCTCCAATTGAGCAGGTCGGGGTGGGCCTGAGCATCTTCACCTCTAACAAGGCCCGACTGATGCCGTGCTGCTGGTCCAGGACCATGCTCAGACAGACACATCTGCACGCACATCTACTTTGCACGTATACTCCGGATTCCAGAGGGTCTTTCCTTTTCTTTTTTTGCTTTCTTTTTTTTTTTGTGAGGAGGACTAGCCCTGAGCTAACATCCGATGCCAATCCTCCCCGTTTTCTTGAGGAAGACTGGCCCTGGGCTAACATCTGTGCCCATCCTCCTCTACTTTATATGGGACGCCGCCACAGCATGGCTTAGCAAGCAGTGCGTCGGTGCACGCCTGGGATCCGAACCTGCGAACCCCGGGCCGCCGCAGCGGGGCGCACGCACTTAACCACTGCGCCACTGGCCGGCCCCGGGTTTTTCCTTTTCTTATGGTGACAGAAGTAATTAAACACGCTTGCCTGCTCTGTAACACATCTGGCCACGCCCTCGCTGGAAGGCAGCCTGGAGTCACGGGGAAACCACGCTCCAGAGTCTGGCCCCTGTCCAACCACTCACTAGCCATGGACCATGCACTTGTAATGTAATCTAAATCTCTCCTTCCTAACCCGTAGTGGGGGGTAACGGTTCCCGACTCTGGGAGTGACTGTAGGAATTAGATGCCATTGGAGAGTTTCTTGTCATGGGGTCAGATAGTGTGGCAGTGTTCCCAAGGGAAACAGTTCACTGCTGCCGTGAATGACGCTCAGGTGACACAGGCACCTAGAGAAAGCACAGTGCAGGGTCTGGGGTGACAGGGCCTTAAAATGCCATGTATGAGTTGGCTTTTAACACATATTTATAGTTCCTGCTATTGCCTCAATTGCAGGGAGAAAAGAAGGGAGGGAGGAAAGAAATTCTTACATCTCCCCATTTAAAAAGTAACTCCAACCAAAGAACTGGACAGCGGGACAAGAAAATGCCATTTCTAAGCACATTCAAGAAGAGCTGGGCAAGGAGCAAGTGCAATTTAAGGCTCAGCTCAAGCGCCGCCTCCTGTTTCAAGCCTTTTCCAAATTTCCTAGCACACAATGATCTCTCCCTCTCCCTCCCTCAGTGGCTCACACTATTAAACGCCTACTTACTCTGCCCAGCGGTCCGCATTCTGGGACACAATGCAAGCTCTGCACTGCAGAGCTTCCCAAGGGCAGGAACCACGTCCCTGCAATTCCTTTATTATGGGGGGTGGGTGGGTGACACCATAATTCTCCCCTTGCAGCAGTAAAAACCTTGAACAAGTTACTCTGGAATGGATTTGCTCCCTTACTGATTTGTGGTCCACCTCTTCATTAGAATGCAGGCTCTGTGGCACTGGGGCATTTTCTCACTGTTCATCACTATACATGAGTTGGAGGCTTTATTTCCACATCTGTACAATGGGATCACCAACCACTTCACGTTGGCGTCACGAGGACAAGAGGAGATGGGGCTCCGTCGTGTTCACCTAAGTGCAGATCTGCACCCAGGCTCCACACGGCCCCGCAAGCAGCTGAGCAGATGCCTGCTGGTGGTACAGGGAGTTGGTGTTTTGTTTTTAAAAAAAGATGACAAGAGGCTTATCATTTTCACTATAAAGATGGCACACACTTATGTAGGAATTTTCAAGAACTCTTGTTGGTTGTTTAAATACATCCCTCCTGCTCCCCAACTTTAAGTGAAACTTCATACAGAAATTCAATTTTAGTCAAAAGAAATGAGGGAGTTAATATTCACAAAAGGATTCACAATCAGTTTTCTTTAAATAGAAAATCTCCCTGGCACATTTTAAGATATTACATAGTCACAAAAATTGTATTTGCCAACTTTCCAGAAGCACTTGCTATTTAAAGTAAGTCATGCCTCTGACAACTGGGGAGCATTCAGACTCTTTTGGAGGACTCTCCTCCTGAGACCTGGGGTCACATTTTCATTTAGAGTTCCTTGAGAGACCTTACACAAGTTACTTTAATCACTGAGAGAAAAATGAAGCCCAGGAGGGTAGCACCTTGCCATTCTCAGTGTGTCTGCCTTCTGAATTACTGGGGCATGTTATAAGGAAGAGAAGGGTATAGCAAAATAGTTTCCATTGCTTCAACTAATGTTCCAAAAAGCATCCAAGAAACAATGCTTGGGTAAAAATAGTTTCTCTACACTCTTGCTTGAAAGTAAGAATATACACACTTTAAAAAAATCAACTCAGGGCTGGCCCTGTGGCTTAGTGGTTATGTGCGTGCGCTCCGCTGCTGGCGGCCCGGGTTCGGATCCCGGGTGGGCTCCGATGCACCGCTTCTCCGGCCATGCTGAGGCCGTGTCCCACGTACAGCAACTAGAAGGATGTGCAGCTGTGACATACAACTATCTGCTGGGGCTTTGGGGGAAAAGTAAAATAAATAAATAAAAAATTATAAAAAAAAAAATCAACTCAGAATTTGGTGTTTAGAAAATAGAGTTTAGTTTTAGTTGTGTGTTTTGAAAGCAACACATGTCGTTACCCTCCGGTTCTGCACTTGCAACTTCCTGACACCTTGAGTTTACATACCACAGAGCAAAACCAGCTGTCAAGCCCTCCAAAGGACAGAGCCAAATTGCAACGACTGGAAAGAATCCTTTATAGAACCTGGCTCTCCAAATACCTCTGGAAAGCAGTTTTACATAAACATAATAGAAGCAAGTCACTGCAAGGGGTGGAGGCTCTACCTCCCTGGCCTATGGGCTCTCTGACCTTGTGACTGCACCTGGTGACCCAGCTATCCCAGAGCTACAGGATGGACTTTGAGAGCCATGTTGTCCGTCCGGCCTTCCCCTCCAGCATTTCCCCTCCAGCATTTCCGAGCCCGCTTCTCACCTATCCCAGGCTGATCAAATGCAAACCCATGTGGCCCTGTTCAGAGGAAACAGCACTCTTAGCAGCACTGCTGAAGGCCAGGCTCAAGGTCACAGCCCCCCCCCCCCACGATTCATTAATAAATAACAAAGGCCAGTGATTAGGTGCTAGTAACGTGCTAAAGACAGTCCACAGTGCTTTTCTCATTTAATGCTAACAACAGCCGTAGGTATCCCCAAGTCATACACTGCTGGTCAGAAGAAGCCTAGCCAAGCCAAGCCAAGCCTGCCTTGGTCTCTGGGACCTCTGGTCGCCGACGTCCCCTCAGCCCAGTTGCCACACTGTGAGAAGCCCTGGGTAGGTGCTTTGGGCCACAGCTCCAGCTGAACTCAGCCTGCAGGCATCCCAGCCCAGGCCCCAGGCTGGGGAGTGAGAAGTAGGCACATGACAATTCCCCGCCCCAGACATCAATCAGGGCAGAGGCAAGCCATCTGAGGCCAGCTGTCAGGCCCTGTCCAAAGTCCTGACCCACAGAATCTGTGAGTGATAAAACGGCTGTTGTCTTAATGCCGCTAAGCCTGGGAGCTGTTTGATAGGCAACAATAGTAACTAGAACAGAATTCGGTTACAGATTACCTTATTTTACAGACGAGGAAACACATGCAAAGAACAATAAGAGGAAAGCAAAGATTCAAACCTAGGTGTGATTCTAAAGACAGACCTGGAACCACTAAACTGTACTGCACCACCTATAACCTATTTTTGTTTGTTTCATAGAGTCATCGCCAGTTCACTAATCCCAATTCTGCCCATGTTAGGAGTGCCTTGATCCGCCTCGTTTGGAGTACTCAGGTTAGTGGTTCTCAACCTCGAGTGTGCATCAGGAGCACCTGGAGGACTTGGTCAACACAGACTGCAGGATCCCACCCCCAGGGTTTCTGGTTCTGGCTGTCTAGGACAACGCCTACGAACTTGTGTTTCTAAAAATTTCCCAGGTGATGCTGATGCTGCCAGTCTGGGGACCACACTTTGACAACCGCTAGTACAGATCTTCCTGAAGGGGTAATGGGAGTTTCAAGAGTGATGCTCCTATGGAACAAGCCGTCATCACGCTATCACAGACTGATCAGGCCAAAACACCTCCACCATTGCACAACTTTCTAGGGGGTCCCAGGGCAGCCAGCACCTGGCCTGGTCCTTCTTCATACCATTACTTCTGTGGTTTGCAGACACTGGCAAAGGGCAGAGAGATTCCTGATAGATGAGCAGGTGGGCATACACATTCGAAGTGAGAATGCTGCCGAAAAGCTGTTTTTCTTCAAGGCAGTTCTCTGAAGCTCAATTTCTGGCTAAGGTAACCATAAAGGCTGCATCCTCAGGAGAAATGCGAAAGGAAAAGGAGGGAGAAAAATTGCTTGCTGACCACACCTGACCCTGACGGAGTACAGCTCACAAGGTCCTTGCTGCCAGCCCCGTGAGGTCCACCCCACTGTTTTATGTGAGAGATTGCAAGTGTGCATGAGCCAACCTTGATCGTTGACAGCAGCCTCAGGCCTCCCAAGCCCCAGGCAGCTTCCAAAGGAGCTGCACACTTTCTGCTCCTTTCCTGCTGCAGGTTGCTCTCGTCCTCTTCAAGGGCACATTCCACCAGCTCTGCAAACCTAACAGTTTGTTTTTTTTTCCCACTAGTTCAAGGACACCTGCTGCTGACTCAATTTTAGAGAAAACCCTTATCTACTAAGTGACTCATTTTGATTAAACCAGCAAAGTAATATAGAGTATGAAAAAAAATCTGGTCCAAAGTTCCCTGAAGTTTCTTTGTTTGAAAAATAACTGCAAGACACTACCTATAATTTTATGGCTATTTCTGAATATAATAAATAAAAATCGCCACTACTTATTGATCACCAATAAGTGCTGCGCCCGTGCCATATTTTCCAGCACTCCGTCCTCACAACCAGCCTAGCAGGTGGGCTTATCACCCCCAGTCTACACAGGAGGAGGCTAAGACCTGGAGGAGTGGAACACCTGGGCCATTAAACGGTGGAGTTGGGTGAGAGGCCAGATCAGGCCTCAGGTTCAGGGCTTGGCCAGGCACGACCTTGCCATGAAGATCTGCAGGTCCTGTCCTTAAACACCCCCTAAACCCCACCTAAAGGGTTACACCATTCATGGTGACATCACAGCCCCTCTGACCACCCCTCCTCCCCAGGCCGCCCATCCCCAGGCCTATCCTGTCCTGCCACACAGCATCCAGTTTTTGGGCATTCTCCCCTAGCTGTGTGGTGACACAGTATACTCTCCCCAACACCCCAATCCCAAACCTTAACGAAACAGTTGTGGATTCAGTCTCAGCAGATACCAGAGGATCGACTGGCTAGTGGAACTGGTTTCTGGGATCTCGATGGCCACCAGGTCTAAAGCGAGCCGGGGGTCTTGGGGGCGCAGAAACTGAGAACTGGGAGGCCGTGCCATTCCTCCCTTCCCGCCCAAGGCCCTGGGAGCCAGGAGAGAATCGATTCCAGCTGCTGGCCCCGGGTTTTTTCCTCCGTCGGCCAGCCGCAGCAGCTCGATATGTTTCTGTGGGCAGTTTCTCCCCAGGCGAGTCGCCGGCACGGCAACTGGCGGAGACAACAAACAGAGGCTTTTGGGTTTTGCCTCCGGCCCCGGGACAGGAGCGGGGAAGTCCCGGCCCCCGGGCGCCCTGAGCCTTCTGCCTCAGCCTGGCCCGGGTGTCACCCGCCGCTCCCCGCAGGTTGCGCTCCGCGGTGCGGTGGAACCCGGTAGTTAAACTTCGGAGACGACCGATCGATGGAGGAGTCGGCCGATCGAGAAGCCAGCTGGGGCAAGGCCAGCAGCTGGGCGACCAAGCTGACGCCGGCCCGAGCCGGGAAGGTGGAGTCGGGACGCGGGGTTGCAGCTGGTGGGGGCTGGAGGCTCTGGGACCGGGTGGGAAAGGGGCGAGGGTGACGTGGCTCCACGGTTTAGAGCGCAAGAGGCAGAATCCCGGAGGAGGGGACTCCTGGGGGCTGCGACCCGCCTGGCCCGGGGACTCTGCCGCCTGCTGGGTTCTGTGAGTCCCCTCGGGACGCGTGAATTGGGGCGCCCCGCAGCAGACTCACCAGACACATTTAACCGGCCTCCCAGGAACCAGCCGATCTTGCCGCTGCTGAAGTCGCAGTCCCAGACCGTGTGGTAGGGGGTGTCCCACACTAGCGTGTCGCGCGCCAGCGGCCCCCAGAAGGCGGCCGGCTCCCGGGCGGCCTGCGCGCTCAGCGCCTGGTAGGAGCCGGGCTGCGCGGC